GGGAGAGGGAAGAGGGGACGAAAAATGCGATTCGCGCCGGGGAACAATAAGGAGGGAGGGGAGGGGGGACGTCGATTCGTGCTCGAGACAGGTCCAGGGCATTATGTTCCGGGCACAAAGGTCCGCGACGAGCAGTATGCGCACCGTAATAATCTGTCACCCCGTACACCGCGCCACGTATACTTAATACTCGGGCGTTTCGCACAGAGGGGGCCGAATAAGGGTACGGGCGCACCCCATCAGGTTTTGCAACGAGTGACGTCACACCGGCCCAGGAGACTTTTGCGTTCATTGAAAGAAGCTGGAAGGGTGACGAGGAACCGTTTTGCCCAATAGGGAGGAGATCGACTATGGCGAGCAAATAGTGGCATAATTTGTAAAAGATGAATTTCGATTGAAATTTAAAATTTAAATTTAAGAGAGAAAAAAAGAAGAGAAAATCGAATAATTAATTAATTAAATTAATTAATTAAAAATTGGGCGTAGCGAAAATATTTATTGACGAAAAATTTTTGGAAAGAAATTGTGTATCGAGGCAGCGATAAACGAGAAAGTGAAATGGAGGGAAAGGGAGCAACACCTCGGCATAATCAAATTAAGGCCGGCTCGTATCGCGACGCAAGTAATTCAGCCCGGACTCCGGTAACCCGTTCGTACCGCGGCGCGTAAGGAGCGTAATACGCTTAAAAAGAAGGGTATGACGTCACGAGGAGGTGGCACGCGGCGCGTGCCGTCGGATGGGGTACGAGTTATCGTGGCTCGTGGGACAGAGACAAGAGACAAGCTGGGGAGTGTAACCGGTGCAAGTTGGAACGAGGGGAGGTAGAGTAGAGAAGCAGACGAAAAGGAATGGGAGGAAGGAGTAGGACGAGGATATAAAGATGAAGGAGGAGGAAGAGAAAGACAGGCGCCCCGAGGAGTCTCCACGACAGACAAGCAGGCAGGCAAGCAGGCAGGCAAGCAAAGCGGGCAAGAAGTCCGCACGAGTGGCTGGGGTGTCGTACAGAGGCTATGGTGGTGGGGGTGGGCGCGTGCAGCCGGCCTGCAGCTGCCTCTTTTACCATCCTCTTCCCCTCGTTTCCCTCGCCCAAATTCCCCGTACCCCTCTAGAGTTCCACACGTCGTACCACCGGCGCAGCCGCTACCCACCACCCCTCTAGTTGGCCAACCCCTCCCGTCGGGGGCCTGGCGGGACCACAATTATAAGTAGGGGTGCTCCCGGCTTACTACCTCCAGTCGAGGGTTGCACGCCGTGGTGTAGACGCGCGGATACATAGCCCGTCGTTCCACAAACTTGAAGCGCACGCGTGTACGGACGGGAACTAGAGAGGAGAGGATTTTAGTTAAGAGGAAGACGGACTATAGTTTACTATTCTCTGCTATCCAAGGATATATTGCCTACATTGTCGTGGCAGAGGGACAAAGATAGAAAGTATCGAAGGGATAGAAGACGCGCGCGCACTGACACCGTATAGTTAACACGATTCAACGTTCCTAAGTTCCTATACGGTCATCGTGCACGCGAAAGCAACCGAGATCGGACTCGCCATCTGTCGATCGCGCGTTGCCAGTGTTTCGTGAGCAGTCGATGGTTATAGTGATTCCCCGAGTGACCACAGTGTGGCGCTAGTGTTGCCTATTAGTGGCGCGGAAACACGTTCGACGATATATACAGCTTTTTCAGTGGGAGTTACGATCGTACACGTATATACGGTGTACATATCGAGAGAACGGAGAAGGATAGGAGTGCATTTAATGGGACACAGAGTGAGATCAAGCTGTACTCGTATACGGACGTATGTACGCACACGATTAAGAAGTACTTTCACAAAGGAAAATACGGGCTTACTGGCACCGGTACCACGATCAAGGGGCGCATCTCTGGATCCAGTAGTAGCTCAGCTGCGGAGTAGTGCCTTTCGTGCCGGTTCTCTATAGTGTGTAACTTCTCCTGCTTTCCCCCCTCCCTTTAGCTCTACGAAAACTCTTCCCCTCTGTCGGTGTGCGAAGGCAAAAGCACATTGACTCTCCCGTTCGTCTTTGACTCGTCACACACGGTGAGGGTATCCTCGCTCCACCTCCACTTTTGCCTGTACACCACTACCCTTCTCTTCTTCCTCCTACTCTTTTCTCCATCACCACCGCTACCACCACCACCACCAC